CCTATATTTTCCCAGATTTGCAGATATGTCCCTCATGAATTTCCTTACAGGCAGGTCTCTCGGTTAGCCCTCAGCCAAACAAAATTACGAATCTAACCCTACCGGTTAGTGTACAGCCTCGCAGTCAATCTCGGCAGTAGAAATCAGCAAGTCGTTGCAGGCTTACCCTCCCCGGGATCGAGGACCTCCGAGCTAAAGATGCAGGCGAGGTGAACGGCGAGGAAGGTTGCCCTTCTGAGCCGCTTCATATCACAAGACAATAGACTTTGTTCTCTTGAGAAGTTCCCTTCTGTAGAATTATCTGCTCTCAGAAGGAGGCTGGAATGCGAACCTCACAAGATACTGCCGATCGGGGCCTGTGCCCCACTCATCCTCAATTCGGTCAATGTCATATCCCTTACCAGGGATTGGCGGACCAAACTGAGGGGGCCGGTCTGGGAATGCATCAGCTGGAGTGAAAGGCAGCAGCTTGGATGCATGAAAGACCGGGTAGGTGCGTAGATGCAGCGGGACATCGATGACATACGACGGACCGAAGGGATCAGCGCCCACTGTATCTAGGACCTGCCATGGACCCAGGTAACGTGGCAACAGCTTGGGGGAGATATCCTCCTCCCTCGACAACTCAGAGCTGGCCACCCAGACATGGTCACCAGTGCGGATGGGGGAAGGCCGCCTGTGGCGATTAGCCTATTCAATCATAGCCTTTTGGGCTTTGAACAAGTTCGCGGGGGCTCTTTCCACATCTAGACGATAACATCTGGGTAACTCTGTTGTGCCTGGTGTCAGATCAGGCTTAGCCTTATCGATGATGTCATCGAGAGGCTGTCGTGGTTCACGTCCCCAGTGTAACCAGTAGGGACTGAACCCTGTCGAGGAGTGGACAAACATGTTATACATGAGTTGTGCCCTAGCTAAGTGAAGATCCCAGTCCTGTTGATCTGGAGAGATGACATGACGCAGCAGTTGGAATAAGACTTGGTTCATCACTTCAACCAAACCATTGGCTTCGGGATGATGACCAGAAGTCATGTCCAGTCGTGAGTGCAGATAGTCCTTGCAGTAGGATTGCCACTCATCGCTGCAAAATCTGGGGTCTCGATCACTGACTATAGAAGTGGGCGGTCCATGGTGTGTGACCCACCTCTCAGAGAAGGCTTCTCTCACAGCCGGAACCCTAGCTACCTCTGGCAAGGGGATGAACTCTGCGTATTTGGAGAACCTGTCCACGCAGACCATAACCTGACGCATGCCACGAGGGGTGGTCTTGCCTAAACCTGTGAAGTCTATCGACACAGATTCAGCAGGGCCATCAGGTATGGGTAAGGGTTTGAGCAATCCCAAAGGAGGTCTACGCTGGACCTTATTCCTTTGGCAGAGCTCACAGGTGTCCACATAACGCAGCATATCACTCCGCATCTCCTTCCAGAAGAAGCGTTGTGACAGGGCTGCATAAGACTTTAGGAACCTTAAATGTCCACGGGCATCATGGCACTCTGACATCAGCAGTGTCCGGAGCCGCTGGTCCTGGGGAATGCACAAGTGCTCCTCACCTCTACTGCAAGTATACAGCAGGTCTGAACTCAGAGCATAGCCTGGTTCAGAATTAGGATCTGCTTGCAGATTCCTGACGATGGGTCCAAAAGTCTCATCCAAAGGCAGTAGACGAGCAATGGTCTGACGGGTCTCCTCTCCAAAGGAGTGAGTAGAGGAGATCATCGCAAAAGAGTCAGGCCTACGAGAGAGGGCATCTGCTACCTTATTGTAGCAGCCCTTCTTATGTTTCAGTTCAAAGTCAAACATGTCTATGAACTGAATGTAGCGTGCCTGTTTGTCATTTAACTCTCTCTGGGACTTCATCCACTGCAGGGTGGAGTGATCTGAAAAGATCTTGAAGTGTCTGCCCAGGAGAAAGTGCTTCCAGTGTTTCAGGGCACAAACAAGAGCATATAGCTATTTCTCGTAGGTAGAGTCCTGGTGCTTTTGAGTCTTGATCTTCTTACTCATAAACTCTACAGGCCGTAGAACATTCCCATCATCTTGCTGAAGAACTGCCCCAATACCATACTGACTGGCATCAGTGGTCAGGATGAATGGCAAAGTGGGGTCAGATAACTTCAACATCAGTGCACGAGTCAAGGCCTTCTTGAGTCGTGTGAAGGCCAACTGACAGTGGAGGGACCAAAGAAAGGGAGTGTCCTTCTTTGCTAGGTTAGTCAGGGGTGCAGCCACTGCAGAAAAGTTCATGACAAAGTTTCTGTAGTAGGAGGCTAAACCCATGAAGGACCGGACATTCCTCACTGTCTGAGGCTGAGGCCACTCCTGAATAACAGTAATCTTGGCTGCTTCAAGAGCCAGACCATCTCCAAAGATTACATGATTCAGATAGATGACAGAGGGAACTCCAAAGGAGGACTTCTCTCTGTTGATCTTGTACTGGCTATCACGTAATGACTGAAGAACAAGAGCCAAGTGCTCCGCATGTTCCCTGACAGTTTTGCTGACTACCAGGATATCATCCAGGTAGACAACCATAAACTTATCCAGGTACGGCCTGAAGATACGGTGCATCTCTGTCTGGAACGTGCCAGGTGCATTGCAAAGTCCAAATGGCATGACCAGGAACTCGTAAGTCCCATACCTGGTCTTGAAGGCTGTCTTGTAGACATCCTCCTCTGCCATCTCAATCTGGTGGTAGCCAGATTTCAGGTCGACTTTGCTGAACACTGTGCAGCCCTCCACCATATCCAGGAGGTCATCGATCCTAGGAAGTGGCACAATACTCTTCCTAGTGATCTTATTGAGACCCCTGTAGTCAATGCACATTCTGAACTCGCCGTTCCCTATGGGCACAAAGAGAACAGGTACACCGAATTCAGAAGTGCTGGGACTGATCCAGCCCTTGCTGGTCAGGGTCTCAAGCTGCTTTCTGAGCTCCTCAAGCTCAGCAGGGGACATCCTGTAGATGCGGCCCTTGGGAGGGACCGCTCCAGGCAGCAGCTCGATGTGATGCTTGGTTGGCCGGTTGGGTAACCCAAAGGGCTCCTGCATCAGATCAGCATACTGATCTACCACCTGCTGTATCTCAGGAGGACATGAAACAAGGGGAGCATCTGTTTGCTTGACCAAAGCAATAAACAGACGCTCGTGGTGGTACTGGCGTGAGAGAGCATGAAACTCCCTCGCTCTCTGGCAGTAGCAGGAAGTCTTAGGGTGGTGATCAGCAGCAATCATGCATGGCTGATACACACCCTGGCTGTCTGGTAGCTCAACTTTAGGGATCTGCCAGTCGATCCTACGGTTGACTGCCCTCAACCACTGCATGGAGAACACCAAGTCAAAAGGCAGCTCAGGGAAAATGTAAAAGTTCAGACTGTGTCTGACTTTTCCAGCAGTATCGAAGGTCACAGGGATACCCTTGACCTTCTCCCTGATGCTGAGCACTGTAGAGTCACCAATCCGCACCAGCAGCGGTTGCTGCAGCTGCTGAACTTTCATGCCCAAATGCAGCTTTTTAACTGCACTGGGAGACATGAAGTTCCTGGTGGCCCCACAGTCCAACAGCCCAGTGATCCTGGTGCTGTTGATCAGTGGCCGAAGCATGATGAGATCAGTCTTGCTCTTCTTCTGTTCCTTCAGATGAAGGAAGAAGGCAGCAAGGGACTGAAGCTCATCCTGCCCCGGGTCCTGATCCAGGTCAGGATCCTCATAGCAGAAGGATGTTGCCCGCGCAGTCCCCAAACAAACATCATCACATACAGTCTCAACTGAAACAACTGCAGATTCACCTACCTGAGTAGATGAAGGTGCAACACTGGGGGGAACTGCAGTCCCCAGGGTCTGTTTCAGTTTTTTGACTGACCTGGGCCTGGCATGTAAGGGCAGTCCTTCAGGAAGTGCTGACCCTCACATCTCAGGCAGACCCCTCTTTCCTTTCTCCTTCTCCATACTCCCTCCTGGATCTTGAGGTCATGCCAGGGGAGTGTGGAGGGATTGAGAGGTTCAGCTGGCATATGGACGTCTTTGGGCAAGTTAGGGCGCTGGGAAGAGGAAGGCCGACGTCCCTTATCCTTCCCCTTGGCTGTGGCCGAGGCTGTGGTGCGGGAGAACTTCCTCTGCAGCTGCAGAGCTCCCAAAACAGCCTGAGTCACGACTGCTGCAACATCTGGATCAGCAGCAGATCCAGTCCCAGCTGAAGGTGCATCAGCCTAGGAATCTGAATCTGATCCTGACGCAGATCCCGCATGTGTGAAGGCTGCCTTTCCCCTTCTGCCACCTCTAGGGAAGGCACCTTTCCTCCTGTCAGAGGATGGGGCTTGAACATGGAGCTTTGCCTCCATTTCCAGGGCTGCGCGGCCAAAGGATCTCCAGTCCTTGTGCCCAGCGCTGTAAAATGCAACAACAAATTTCTCAGGCGATGCCCTGCAGAAGTTGGTCAGCAGATCGTCAGTAGACATGACCAACCCAGGGGTGGAGGTGAGTTGCTCAAACTCAGCAAACAAGGCAGAGTCCCACTATACCGCTGCTGTCCCAGGCGAGCAATTTTGTCAGCAGCCTTGCGGGCTCGCTCCTTGTCTGCAAATCGGTCCTCCAGGGCCTGCAGAAATTTGTCCACCCCAAGCCCAAAAGCCCAGTCCTCCATGGACTGCTGGAGACTGCTGGAAGTGGAAGTGGCCCACTTCAGTGCAGGCCCTTCCAGCAGTCCCAAAACAGTCGCCACCTTGGTCTGTTCTGCACAAACAAAGCCCCTCAAGTAGGCTTGGTCCCAACAGCCCAGTCCCCAACATCAGTCTTGGGGTCATCGCCCCTGAACTTGTTGGGAGCAGGGATCTTGGGACCTCTGTAGTCTCCTGCAGTAACAGCAGCATAGGTGGCCTTTGTTGAGGCCTTTTGGGAATGGGATGGTGACCGGGATGAATGTACTGAACCAGGGGGTGTAGAAGGGGGCGAAGAAGGAGGAGAGAGTTTGGGTTTCAGCAGAGGGAGCTGAGGGGCAATCAGCTTGGTGGCTGTCAGCTGAGCAGTCAAGCTCTGGATAAAATCCAGGATCTTGGACTGTTGAGCTGACAGCTCGTCAACCCGACGCTCCAATTGCACAAAGCGGTCATCCCAGATCGTGAATTGTGAACTGGTGTGTTCCAGCAGGATCATCTCTGCCATGTATTTTTGCGCACAACGATCATCTGTGAGCGCCTTGTCTAGCTGCTGCAACATATATTCTCTTCCGGAATGATCTGTTGCAGCCTCTAGCTCAACTGCCTCCTGCTGTTCCAACGCTGCAAGCTTGGCCTGCTGCTGCCGCAACTGTTCTTCCAACTCCCTCTTCATCCGCTGAGTAGCAGTCAGAGGTGGAGGAGTGGAGGCTGAAGGCTGTTCACCTTCCACCTTCATCACCACTTCCACCTGTGGCTGCTGCTCAATTCCCCGATCAGACATTTTCCTTTTTCAAAATAATAACAAAATAGCAGACAACAACCAGAGATGCAGCGATACTCAGATTCTTTCAGACACCCTGGAATCGCTGCAATATCTCAACACTGGAATAGGTGGGTGTACAGGCAATCAACGGTTTGGGTTGGAAAGGTGTCCCTGGGGTCAGGTGTCAAGCAGACTATAAGTCCAGCAAAATCAGTCACACGATTTCCTTTTACTGACCCTGGACCACACTGGAGTTAGTAGGGTCACCCCACTACTCTTCCAGGGACCCACTAGATTTCCAGTACCCACTAGAAAACAAGTGTCATCAGTGAGAATGATGGAAGTTGATTAGTACAGACAAAGAGAGATCAACCGCAGCAAGCGATGCAGACAGTTACCCTGTATCCTGACTCAGACTCTAATTTAGACCCTGATGACTCTGGCGGCCATACCCTAGGGTATGGCGAAGTATAGTATTCACTGAATCCAGTGAAATACTACAAATCCAATCCTGCGATTCTGCAGTATTGTGTATTTTTGGATTGCGATTCACTGGGGACTGACAAAACTGAATTATGACGGACAGAATTGAAGTTATGACTGACCCTAGGTAGCACAGGCTAAAAATAGACTCAGCACAAAATTGCAATTCCCAGTATCACTACCTTTCCAGTGCAGAATTCACAGTTTGAGCATCCCAGAATAATCGCAATGTAGTAATGCAGTCACAGGACAATTTTGGATCAGAAAGAGTCAACAGAGGATGAGAAATGAGCAGAGAGAGGTAGGGGAGAGATGGCTATGGCTGTCATGCAGTCTGCGATTTTCACATCCAGTCACTGACAGACAGATAGACCATTATAATTCACTAATCTAATACTATCTGGATCGCAATACAGGTAGGTGCATGGAACGGACTCACTTTCAGAGAATCTTGCAGGTGATGATGAAGATATGGCTATGGCAGATGATACTCCTATCTCGCCAATTTCTCCCAGATATTCCTCCTGGCAATCCCACGCACAGAACTGCTTCAAACTTGTTGATCATCCTCAGGATCCTGTAGCGCTGCACTCCCCCTACTCAGATACACTGTATCTGGTCCTATGGCACCCAGATAGCCAACACCAAAATATCTCGCCACAGCGCCTGGTAGCCGTTGATGCTAAAAATAGCCCCAGATGGGGTTATTTCTCCTGGAGATTGATACAGACTGTCAATCTCTGCCAGCGCTACCCAGGGATGATGCCGCTTAGGGTTCCCTGATGTCCTCAGGGGTAATTCGCCACTCTGGGGTACTTCGCAGTACTACCCTCAGGGTTGGCTATGGCGAATTAGCCCTGTACTCGCCACTTCCTGACAAGCGCCCTGACAGGCTCAGTGCGCTTGCTCGGTACAACCACTGAACACCTGAATCCACCGCTGAAAATCTTCTTCCCTACTGACTCAGTACTGGGAAAGATGAATCGCCATGAGACTCTCGCCAGTAGATCGCTAGATGAAGAAGATGCCTTAGTGCGCTCAACCCTCAGTGTTCCAATTCCAATCCCAACTTTGATACCAACTGTTATGAACTTGGTTGTCGGACGATTTATACCGCCACTCACACACAGACAGTCTCACACATGCCCATACATGCATAAGAGAAGGGGGAGAGGAGACAGAGTCCACACTGCACACAGATCAAAGTAGGCAGCGGAATACAACTATGCACAGATGGGGAGAGGACATAGTGTTTCTCTCTCTCTGACAAACTCCCAACAACCAATCACAAGAGGAACCTGCGAGGATAACAATTGAAATAACACTGATGATGAGCCAACTCAAACAATTATCATAATAGAGTTTGTTCCAGTATCTCGCCACTCTCAGAACTCACACCCCACTCTCTATCCTACA